ACTTCCCCCCAGGTCGAATATGACCCATCCACCACCACCCTCCGAGTACAACCCTTCAGCCAATTTGCAATCCATCTGACTGTGTAGGCATCAATGCCACAGTTGCCTAGTTTTTTAATGAGGATCGGGTGGTTGACAGTGTCAAAGGCCTTGCTGAAGTCCAGAAAGACTACATCCACAGTGTATTCAGTGCTTTTGTGACCTGATCGTAAAAGGAAATCAGGTTGGTCTGACACGACCTACCCCTAATGAAACCGTGCTGGTTGCCCTTGAGCATCATCCCCGATGCCGGCCCATCACAGATGTGCTCCTTGATGATCTTCTCAAAGAGTTTCCCCAGGATTGAGGTAAGACTGACGGGCCTGTAGTTGCCTGGGTCCTCCCTCCTCCCTTTTTTAAAGATGGGGACCACATTGGCTATCTTCCAATCATCTGGCACCTGGTCTGAGCACCACGAGTGCTCGTAAAGCCGTGCCAAGGGCCCTGCAATAACCCTTGCTAGCTCCCTCAACACCCTGGGGTGGACAGCATCTGGACCTGCTGATTTGAACACGTGACTATATTGATTAAAAATCAAAAAGGTATCGTAAGTCAAATACTTAGATGGGTAGGAAAGCTGTGTGCAAACCAAACCCAAGTCCCAATTTCTGGCACACAAGTCATGTCTACACTAACTTTGCTCCCACTCTACGCACCCCAGACCCCAAAGTGCAGCCATGTAGCTGCCTTGAAGCCAAGCTAAGAGCATGCCCAGCACCTCCTCAGGCTCCCTGTCTCAGGGATGCTTACTCAGGCACTGTTGTAGGATGGGATTTGGTGCGTGCCTAATGGAAAGGGCATGCTTCATAGCTGATTACCCAGGCCCAGCACAGAGGATGGGTAGATATGCCCTCAGGAACTCAAGTTCTACTGACTTCAGGAACTAAGACCCACATGTTGGTCAGTTGGGTGCCTAATTACCCTTGATGATCTGTGCCTAACTGCTAAACTTACTTCTGAAAATTAGTCTTGGGTTCTTAACGCATGATCCAGGCTCTTTTCTAAATTCCCCTTTTACCTTCAGAAGCATTTGTATTCATTCAGGTCCACCGTTAAAAATCAGGGAGGGAATGATACACCAGAAAAATATACTAAAATGTATGCAAAAACCATCATCCAAATATCCACAAGCTGTACGATATATATTTTTTGCTTCTTCCCATTTCCTTCCCAATCTTTTCTCCCTTCCCCACAATTCCTGATGGAGCTTTCACATTATGCACCAACCTGACATGGTCAAAGATGCCTATAACAGCACACATGGCACATAATGAATGCAGAATGGAAGATGTCCCTTAAGAGAAACAGACCTTGTCACTATATTGGCGATTGCAATTAAATAGGCATTTAAAAAAAATAAATTGCTGGGACCAAATCAGGTGCCTTGAAAAGCTCCTGCAGAAATAAGGGACGTAAAGATAAAGGTCCCTCGGCTCTCCTAAACAATCACGCAAACCTGTGTCTAGTTAGGAACGGATGAGCGCATCACATAAATTGTATAGTTTGCTTTTCATTGACTTAGGTGTCAGTTCCCTGTCAGGCTGATAGTTTAAGATGGAGTGACTGTATTGGCATGTAGATAAAGACAGGCAGCTTGGAAAGATACTTCCCTTAGATATACCATTTCCCCCATTTCGATCTAACCAAAATGTAGCGAACACTTACGCTGGGAAAGAAGCTGAACAGACACTGCTCAAACCAGGAATAGGAGTACATCTACTCCTCGCTTAACGTCGTAGTTACGTTCTTGACAAATGCGACTTTACACAAAACCAAGTTAAGTGAATCCAGTTACATCACAGTAGCTACCTACTAGCAGGCGGCAGCTGAATAACGTTATAACTGAACATTGCACCACTTCAAACGAGTACGTTCTCTAACAGAGCAGCGGCATAATAACGAAACTACATTAACCGGGAGGACGTTAAGCGAGGAGCACCTGTATAAGCAGCACTATGAAATGTACACTTTGGTTTCTCCAGTAACAAGTCACCTAGAGACAGATCAGTCTGCTAATTACCCCTCTTATTTCAGAGGGAAATTTACCTTCCTCTGCAAAAGAAACTCAGCGGCGAAGGGGGTGGCAAGCAGCGACCACCAGCAGCATCAGCGGCGCTTTTGGCAGGGGGTGCACCGCCGATCTCAGGGGGTGCGTGTGCACCTGCGTGCCCCCCTACGCGTCACCAGTGAGCAGGGCACAAAAGGCACGGAGCGGCGTTCAAGATGGGTTTAGGAGAGCAAGGAAACCAGCACCCCAAGGCAACGAGCGGGGCGCACGAGGCACAGACACAGTGCTGGAGATCAACAGGGATCCCCTTCCCCTGCACAAATCCAATCTGGGAGGTTTTCCAGAGCGCCAACGTGCCCGCATGCTTGCATATATCTATTATTTGACCCCCACTCCTTAGGAACCGGGAATAAGCAACCAACTTCAGCCTCATGGCAATGCAACGGGATTGCTGGCTTGGGCAGACTTCTCGCATACCCAGAGCCGCTGCTGGATGTGGGGTCAGGAGAGAAATGCACCCCTTGCTCAGACTGAGGGGGGAACGTGGAGGCTATTGCTTATCCCTGCCCCTCCCCCAGGCTCCCTTAGGGCACATGAAGCAGCCAGGCCCCCGCGCGGTGCATTGTGGGCCACGCCCCTCCTTGGCGCCAAGCTCCCCCGCCCTTTGCCCGCGCGGTGCATTATGGGTCCCCCTCCCCTCGGAGCCGAGCCGGATCTTCTTCGCCGGGCCTCCTCACCGGATGTGACGGCTGCCGCCTCGCGAAGGGGCAAAGGAGCGCTTTTCCCGCCCCAAAGTCCGGCTCTAGGCCGCACAATCCGCGGCGCGGGGCGCTCCGCCGACCTCGACGGTAGCATTTGTCTAGGCGAAGCAATTGAAGGCAGGGACTACTTTTCCTGCAGGCAGCGCATGCGCGGTGCGAGCGGAGCAACACCGCGACGCTGCCCGAACGGGGTGAAAGAGTGCTTCGACCGGCGGCGGGATCCTTGCGCGCAGCAGCACCGCGAGGGAGCGGCGGGCGCCATTTTGCAGCCGTGTTTG